TTTTGATTGATTTTTAGTGACAGCTACGGAGGGATGCGAGGTTGCGTGGCAATTTGGCAAGTGTATCTATGAAAATGACAAAGAGGTGATTTTTAAATACTTTGAGTACCAATTAAAGTCATTTTGCTCGTCTCCAAGTTATTTAACCTTCGTCAAAAATAATTTCTTTTAATTAATTTTAATCAGAATCGACGATTAATAATTTCAAGTATTTGCAATATTTGTTGCAGCTCTACTTAGTTCCTTAGAACGATCTTTCAATATCGATCGAAGAAGCAAAAGAAATTTCTACACGCCCGTACATCGTTGTTATAAAGATCGAGAAACAGCTAGGATGGTGTGCAGAAATATTCGAATTCCAAACAACGTATGTAGAAGAGTCTAAAATTTTTGCGAAACTTAAAATTTCCATGCAATCATTTTATCTAGAAGAAATTAATTCCGACAAATTATTTAAAATTAATTATTACTTAAAATTTCCTTCCTTCGATATTTTTATTACCTTGTAATACGTTATTATACTTGTTTATCACGCAACAATATCCAAGAATATTATTTTTGCCCGCTAATTCGAAACCTGAAACGGAGAAGCTCATTATCCTATCCTAACAAAGCCTCGACTACTCAACCACTAATTACGAATCGCGATTTACTTTGAAACTCGCGCGAACACAACGCGATAAATCGATCCGCAAAACTCGAATTCGTCCCTCCACCGATCCACCTGCTCTCGATCGTTGGTGAAATCACAGTCGCCGCGTTCCCAGGCTTCGACGATCTTCCCTCTCTCTCTCTCTCTCCATCAAATCTCCCCTCTTCTTCCGCTGTCCCAAGTTGGAACAAGTTAGAATGATCGAGAGATATGTGCTCTTTCGAGACAACGAACGTGCTCGGGGAGTCGCTAATAAGCGCAACGCGTGCAAACTCGTCCAGGATTCCCGGCGCGATCGTTAAACTGCGAACACGTTGGCCAACGTTGGCGAGCGGAGCACAGGGACGATTCTCTCCCTCCTTCAACTCGGAGAAGAAGAGCAAACGCGACGCGACGCGACGCGATAGCTCGAATTAAAATGGTCCGCTGAAACTCATTCCCCGAATTAAACGGATTAGATCCAATCAGCACCAGAACGCTGTCGTCGCGCGACATGTTGTACCGTTTCGTTCGATTCCTCCGTTTAATTAAATCCAATCCGTAAGAAGAATAAGGCGAAACCACG